TTTTGTTGAAGATGAATTCAAATTTCCAAATCCACTGAATTTATCCTGGTAGATACTGATTCATTTCCCTCACCAAAAATTCTTACCATGATGATTGCTTGTCTTCACCCTTTGAAATGTATAAATGTTTTTCCCAAGCGTAGAAAATGTGTGCAGTGTAGAAACTTGGAATATTCGAGGTCGTCTCTTCACGGAACAATGACAATCCGAATGGTGATGTGTTGTAAAATAAAATGAAAAATAGTGGATATGTGAAATCAAATAGAAAACGATCGGTCAATCCTTGAAAATCATCTCACTATAATCAAGCTTATAGATTCTCATTTATAACTCATCAAAGCTCATAATCAAATGAGAAATTTGGAGGCCGGTCCCCTTTTGTGGACTTATTTGGTGATAAGTCTATCAAGGAAACTTATTTGATCTCCATTGTCTAGAATACTCCCAGTAGTTATGATTAATAAAACAAATTTGAAACTAATAACCCAAAAATTTTAGGACTTTGACTAACATTAACATTCTCTCTCTCACACACACACACACACATATATATATTATATACATATAGTAGCATTAAAAAAATAGTAACATTTCAAACACAAAAAATAATACCATTTAAACACAAAAAAAATAGTAATTTTTAACAACAAAAAATAGTAATATTCAAAAATAAAAAAATAATTCATTGAGTATTAATATTTTAAAAAATAACAGTAGTAACATGTTCAACAAAAACGGTCACATAAACAGTAACATGCTCAAAAAATAATATGGTAAAAAAAAAAAACAGCAACATGAAACATTCAACAATGAAAACAATACCATTTTAAAAAAATAATAACACACAATAGCTAACAAAAAATATTTAAACAAAATAAAAAATAGTAACATTCAAAAATAAAAATAGTAACATTTAAATCAAAAACAAATAATCTACTTCAACGAGTCTATATGAGTTCATCTGTAGTAAACACTGCTATTATAATTTAGATATATTTTATTAATATATTTTTTTGCTCTTTTTTTTAGAGAAGAAAATAAGAATTTCGATTCTCAATGGTCTAATCCATCCATTCCCAAATCTCAGATCAATTAACAATCAAGCAATTTTAAAGACAACACTCAAATAATAAAAATGGGTGGAAGCCCTCAAAAGGTGTTTTAAAATCAACTTGTTCTGATATTTAAAAACAATAAATAACAAATGAAAATATTAGAAAGTAGTTCCAAAATCACACCCCAAGTATAGGTAGAGCTTGCAACACCTCAAGCAAAAGCTGTCCCTGCCTCTTCCTCGGAGCTACTTGAGTACCTTCTCTAACATTGCTCTGGTGGTTATGGCAAAAACAAAAGCAATGGTGCCCATGGGAATCTGGAACTAGTAGTATGTCTGTGAGTGTGTGATATGGTGTTTTGGAGTTTTAAAAAAATAGTGGACTTAACTACTTATTAGTAAGATTAAAATCAGACTTATTCCCAAAGATTCCTGGATGGACTAATCTCATTATAAGTTCCTTAAGGAGGACTTAGCCCCTATTTTCACAAATCAAATTTACTCGGAAAAAAAAAATTCAACTAAAATCGTGTAACGCCCCAAAATCCCCATTGGATGACATTACAATCTAAATCCATCCACATCATGAGAGCAACTAAATAAATTCATCATTAAAGAATATTTCATTCATCAAATATAACATTTACAATATCATCCCAAAAGAATAGGCCAACCTAGAAAAATCAACTATTTTCTCGCAGTGGATAAACAAAAATACATCTATTAATGTACCAAAATATATCCCATAATCTAAAACATGGAGAAATCAACCCTAGACATTCCCCTCAGGATCCATGCTTTCCTCCAATTGAGCTTCCCAAGCCACCTGCTCGTTAACTCTGAGCTCTTCCTCTAAACTGACATCTGAGAATGAATAATATTGTAGGGGTTGAGCACTAAGCTCTGTAGCAATATTCTCCCAAACTCGAACAAGGTTTAGAAAACATGTAAAACAAGTTGGTCTCATTTTGCAAATATCATATATCAATTTGTGAAAGAGAACAGGAACATTTCAATAGATCTCAAGTTTACACCATAGCAATAAATTAAGTGAAGTAATAACGCCAAATTACAATTAACAAATCCTTTCCAACCAAACACCATTTTCCCCAAGTTCTTGTAGAAAATCTTTTCTGGTACAATAAACCATAAACCCACAATTTGTATTTGTATCTCAGGTATGATGCATGATTCGCATGAATAAACACATTGAGAATATCCTGGCCCACACACACACACCCAAATCCTCGCAAGGATATCCAACCTTTAGGAAGGGCGTATAACAACTCATAGCAGTGATGAATCCAATCCAGGAATAGTATACTAACTCTCAACCTCAATAACACATGAGCGAACAGTGGTTTGGTCCTCACAAGACACCAACCCCTCTACAAGTGATAGGGAACCTTCAAACCCACATGGAGTAAAAAACGCAGCTAACCCACTTAACGATATCCGATCAACGGCCACCCATGGTCATCCAAACATCCACAAGAGATACAATATCCAATCAATTTCTCCAATCACAAATACATTCAAAAATTCTCAAATTTCACAAGTAGTATACCAATAGAACAATTTAAGAAAATATGCAAGAGATCATCATAAATACCATTTTGTGGTTCAATATAAAGCACTAAAGTTCTGAAATCAAGAACAAAGAAAAAATCAAGAGAAAAATCCATTTCTCTTAAAAACTAGGGTTTTGAGTCAAGAAGAAAAGATTTAATGGTTATCCCACCATAGATTTGTTTAAAACATGATAGTGTTTGCATGAATATCATGAATCAATGATCTACTAACAAATAAATAAGATTTAGAGTCAAAAGAATACATATAAGTAAACCCTAGCCTCAATGTAAGAGAATAGGAAGAAACCC